GTATTACAGAGAGTATAATTCTTTAACTATTTCTGTTAATTTTGGAGGCATATTAAATACCAGTTAACCTGTCAGAGTTTTTACTGAGATTGTTCTAGAGAGCCTTTTGCTAAAGCTCCCTGGTTCTTTTTGGTTTTATAGTACCTGGAAGTGCTGAGAACTAAATTGGCCTAATTGAAGGCAGCCTCATGAGAGTGTATCTATAGATAGCAAATTAGTTACAATATAACTTTAGGTAATTTAATGTCTTCTTGTAAAGTAACTGTTCTGTTCCTACTTATATGTAGGTCAGCCAGTGATTAATCCAGTTTTGTTGGATGGACCACTCTTCTATTGCTTTGGGTTTTAGTGGAAGTTTGGAGCATTGTCTGTTTTCTGGGAAAAATCTGTTTTATTTGCAAATTATTGCAGAGAAAAGGAGAAGTTCAAAGAGCTTTAATTACCTACTAAATATTTTGCTTGCAAAATGAATGTTTTGAGTCTTTTGGGTAGTTTTATCTTTCTTCATTTGACAGAGTATGAGATGCTAAATAGTAGTTTGAGTATAATCAGTTTTAAGTCCTGGTGAAAACTGTGAGACTTTGTAGTCCCTCCAGGTTCTGAGTGATGCTTGCATACTTTGGCTTAATGTTTTGAGTGAAGTTTTATTTTCTTGTTCTGTGTGTTACTTTACTTTCCCAAATCTGGAACTGTTATTCTTTCACACGAGTGTGACACAATTTACTGTTTGCAGTTGTTTGAATTTTCTATGTTCACATTCACCAATGAAGGGAAAAAAATTCCATCTTATTAATGAAGTGATTAAATTGGAGAAGATCACAAGTGTCTGATATCCAGTTTATATCCAGCAGTGTCCCAAAGAACAAGATCAGTGCATATACTTTGTTTTTTATTTCTCTTTAATATCCCGTTAACTGTAAGTTGATGTAATTTCTTTGTTATTAAGATGTTGATCCTTAGCTGTGATAATCCCATTACACTTTAGTCACTTGTTACAAACTTCAGTCACTTTTTATGCTTTCTTCTGTACTCTTTAGATAAGCTTTTGCACTATATACTTACCAAGTTACCTTCTTTGAAATGCTCTCTAAAACTCTTCAATGTTACTTTTGTTGTGCATAAAAATTTGTAGTTGTTTTTTGTTTGTTTCAGGTTTGTGGGGTATTTTTTGTAATTTGTCACTGATATGTCTGTTCCCTTGCAGTCTTTTGTATTTTCTGCCTTGTTTCATACTTGAATTACAAATTTTTTGGACAACCTGGTCCTGCTTTCATTTTCACTAGCATGAGGTTGGCCCATGTTACAGCACAGTCATGGGGTGGATTGATTTAGAAACTTCATTGCAGTTATCTTTAAAGTTGAGAAGAAAGCTGCTGTTGCCTCCTCCTTAGCTCAGGGAATTGAATAAACTCCAGTGAAGAGGCTTGTGCAATGTGTTAACATAAGTGGAACAGATAAATTAGTACCTTGTAAATATTTTGTGACTCCTTCAGAGGCAATGGAGGAGCAACCTGTCTTACCTCAAAGACTTCCCAGTGTGAACTCTTGATTGCATCAGAACTTACTTTGGTTTAGTGGTGGCAGAACTTTATTGTTCCCCTGCTAAATGCTTAGTTACTTCAGAATCTTCCTGGGAACCTCCTTTCCTTGGCTTTTGGAGAATTCATTATTCATTTAGACACTTAAAATTACAGGGTTCTGAGAATTTTTGAGAGTGATGCAAGCTTTAGAAATGCAGCTCTGAAGTGATTGCATAAGCAGGCTGGGTTGTTGCCTCTAAAAAGTAGCAGCTGGGAACTGCCAAAAGCAAAATTGTGAATTGTACCTTAGCTGACAGAGTTAACACTTTTGTTTCTGTCACTGCTTTTCTCTCAGGTTTTATTTACAGATTACTGTGTTTATGCAAGTTTTTGCAGTGAGAGCTCTTATTGTTTTGCATGAGAGCTTATGGTTTCTCATGTGCATGAAGTTTTGCTTTTCTCCTTCAAATAAGATTAATTTGTTAGTTTCCTATATGTGACACAATCAATTCTCTGCCTCACCTTGTTATAAAAGCTCACTGTGTTTGTCTCTAGCACTGTTTATTTTCTTGTCTCCCTGACATACTGGAAGCTCTATTAGGGAGATCGTAAAATAGAACAGAAAATGTGAATAGTCACATGTTACAGATGTAACTATTGAGTTAACTTTGAAGTAATTTAGTTATTTAGGCTTTTCTTATGGCTTCATCAAGCTTGTATGAGGTGGTTTGTGTGGATAGATACATATCTGTGAATGGTATTATCAGTGTATGCTTTGACTTGGCTCCTTTTGTCCTCCCAAGTTAGGAAAAGGACTTTGCAGTAAAGCTGTTTTTATCTTTGATCACACATTCTTCTAAAGCAGCTTGGCAAACTGCTTTCTGTGGTGTTTCTGCTGGCTCTGTATGTCTCGTTCTGTCTTGGGTGACTATTTTTTTTTTCTGGGAGACACCTTTTATTCATCTGCTGATGAGTAAATAGTGTTGTGTGCCTATATATCAAACCAAATACTTTATCATACCTTCAAGATCGTGCAAGTTTGGATTTTTGCTGTAAATTCAGCGATTGTGAGTTCAGATAAGAAAAACCATGGCATTTATGTATACTAATATAAACTGTAAAATCCCTACTGTAACTGGACAAACTATGGATTACTTTTCAGTCCTGAACACTGGAAATTTAAAAAATGAAAAAAATAAATGAGCAGGGCTATTCTATTTGAATAAAACATTATATTTGAAATTGTTTTTATATCTATGTTTCCTTTAATATTAATAAAGCCAAACCGTGTATTGAAGATAAAGGCTGAAACCCCTTATAATTACAACCTTGATTCCTTTAGTTTTCCTGTCTGGTAGAGACTTTGGCATCAGTACCCTTCTCTAGTTTCAGGTTTGCTTCTTGCTTCGTTGGTTCAGGGCTTCCCTGTGATATCCTAGAATAGTTACTTGACTGTGATGGCCTTAAGCCATTAATATCTCACATTGGAGGAGCCCCGTGGACAGTGAAGGATTTAAATAAAGCATAGCAGAAGTGACTGGCCAACTGCCAGCCAGGGGACAAGTGGTTTCCCTTAAAATGACTGACAGAGCTTGAGCAGAGGCATGACTGGATTAGATGGTGACTAAGGAGTAAACTGCAGGCTTTTCCTAAGGCTTGTGCATTCTTTCTTGCCTCCTGAGGGTGGATGTGGTAGAACCTGATGTACATGTGAGAGGGAAGAATATTCTGAAGAATCATCACTTGTTTTCTTATGAGCAAATGGAATAAGTATATCCAAAATAAAGATTTTTTTGTTTTGTTTTGTTTTTGCAATAAGACTTGCTGTTTTAAATGTGGCAAAGTGAATTTTGACACCTGCTCTGCATACTTGCAATGAACAACAATGTCAGAGTGCTGTAACAGCTTTAACCCGACCTGATCTCTACTGTAATCCCAAATCCGGCAATCCCCTTTGCCTTGGTTCATTATCTCTGATGTCTGCAATTTAAATGCCATGTTGAAGAATTAGGTATTAATCTTTTTTTGAGTTCCTTCAGTACTGAAGGTCAGAGTGTTTTCTTTAGAGGCAGGATCAACAAGTTTAGGCTGTTTGGGGATAACACATTTAAAACTTGAAATCTTCTCCTTTTAAAGGTAAGTTAAAGGAAGCTGTGTTTAATTTTGGTGTCTTTTTTTTTCCAGCAGTGCCCTTTTTTGACTACAAAATGTTTATAGCCTTCCTTGATGTTTGCTGTTGATTAGCATTCAGGTGAGGTATTGAGTTAGAATATTAACAGCAGCTGTAAGACCTTTTGTACCGTGATAGTTTTCAATTTGAGTTAAGTTCATACATAAAAACTGAGCATAGACACAATTTCAGTGGTTTTTCAGAATTCTAGTGAACTGTACAAGAAATGTAATGGAAAGTGTTGGGCAAAAAGTTACCATAGGGGGCAAAGTTTCAAGGGATGATGATCACACTCATCTGCAGATACAGGGGACAACACAGTTTATCCTGTAGTCTTCAAAATGGGGATTGGATCCAAGCACGAAGGTGGAATGGAAGAGTGGATTGGCAGTCTTATGTCACTGGTATTAAACAGCTAAGTGGAAGTGTAACAGAGATGCTGAGGAGTTGTGGATGTATCTATATGTATATGTATGCTAGAAAGTTGTATCTTGAAAATTGTACCTGCCAGAAAATGGAAAATTCCTCTGCCTCTTTGAAGGAAACCTTGATTGGACAACAATGTGTTAACTAAATACAGTATTTGTTTTTAATCCCAAATGAAACATGTATGTTTTTTTCAGCTCTTTTAGATGATTTTTTTGTTCAAAGAGAAAAGGTTATTAGACTTCTAAAGCATTTGACACTTCAGTTACTACATTTTCTGGGCCATTAAAAACATGCTTCTCAGTTTCTCAGCTCCTGTGGGATCAACATTTGGGTAATTGTGTATGTGAAGAAAAAGCAGAGGAGAGCAGATTAGCAATCCCTTGGCAAATTAAGACTTGAAAAATTACATTTTTGCATTAAGGTGCAGGAATTAGGTGATGGCAGTTTTCAGTTTCTCTCTATTTGACGCTCTGGGTTTAGAGTCTTCAACACAGCAAGCTTCAAGGATGGGGCTACAGCTGAGTCAGATAAGTTAAATCATTACTGAAATTTCAAAATGAAGCAAAGTAGCCTTCCTGCAACGTTTTTTCCTTATGCCTTACTTTTTTTTCCAGTGACCAGTCATAGTTGATTCATAACAGCCAATATGTCCTAAAACCACTTGGAATAATTTAAAAGCAAGGTTAAGGGTTTTTTGTTTGTTTGGTGTGTGCGTATTTTTTTTAATTATTATTTTTGTTTTGGTGGGTTTTGCTGTGGGTTTTTTTTTTTTTGGTTTTGGGTTTTTTTGCTTGTTTTTTTTGTTGTTGTTTGTTTTTGGTTTGTTTTTTGTTTTTTGGTTTTTTTTGGGGGGGGGGCTATTTTTGGGGGGCAGGTTTTTTTTTTTTTTTTTGTTTAGGGTGCGTCCTAAAGCTTGGCGGCTGTTGACTCTTTTTTATCTCTGTATAACCAGACAACTCTTAACAGCTCAAAGGAAGGTACAAAATAATCATTGAATCATTAAGGTTGGCAAAGATGTCCAAAATCATCAAGTCCAACCTTTGAGTGAATAACACCATGCCCACTAATCCATATTGCAAGATATCACAAAGTGCCACATCCGCTCACTTTTTTGAACACTTTCCAGGATGGTGACTCCACCACATCCCTGGGGAGCCTTTTCCAATGTTTAACCATTCTTTCAGTGAAGAAATTGTTCCTGTTACCTGACCTGGACCTCCCCTGTGCAATATGAGGTTGTTTCCCCTATTGCTGGCTGCCTGGGAGAAAAGACAGACCCTCATCTGGCTGCAATCTCCTTTCCGGGGGTTGTAGAGAGTGATAAGGTCATCCCTGAGCCTCCTTTTCTCCAGGCTAAGCAACCCCATCTCCCCCAGGTGCTCCTCATAGGATTTGTGCTCCAGACCCTTCTCCAGTTTTGTTGCCCTTCTCTGAACTCGCTCCAGCATCGCAATGCCCTTCTTGACGTGAGGGGACTGAAATAGAGCACAGGATTGCTCAGTGCAGCCTCACCAGTGCCGAGTACAGATGACAATCACTGCCCTAGTCCTGCTGGCCACATTATTTTTGATACAGGCCAGGATGCCATTGGCCTTTTTGGCCTCCTGGGCACACGCTGGCTCGTGTTCAGCCACTGTTGACCAGCACGTCCAGGTCCTTTTCCGCTGGGCAGCTTTCCAGCCACTCCGCCCCCAGCCTGGAGCGCTGTGTGGAGTTGTTGTGACCCAAGTGCAGGACCCACCTGGCACTTTGCCTTGTTAACCTCACACTATTGGCCTCAGCCTGTTGCTCCAGCCTGTCCAGATGCCTCTGCAGAACCTTCCTACCTTCCAGCAGATTGACAGTCCCACACAATGTAGTGTAGTCTGCAAACTAAGGGTGCACTCAGTCTTTTCATGCAGATCATTGACAAAGATATTAAGTAGGACCTGCCCCAAAACTGATCCCCAGGGAACACCACTAGTGACCAGCCTTCAGTAGGATGTAACTCCATTCCCCACCACTCTCTGGGCTCAGCCCTCCAGACAGTTTTTTACCCAGTGAACAGTGCACTCATGAGCAGGCAGTTCCTCCAAGAGAACTGGGGAAACAGTGTCAAAGGCTTTGACTGAAGTCCAGGTAAACAACATCCACAGCCTTTCCCTCATCCACCAGGTGAGTCAGCCTGTCATAGGAAGAGGTGAGGCCAGTCAAGCAGGACCTGCCTCATGAACCCCCTGCTGACTGGGCCTGATTCCCTTGGTTGTCCTGCATGCACTGTGTCATTGCACCCAAGATAATCTAAATACCAACATTTAAAAAAGGTCAACACATAAATTTCATAATTTGCTCTTGTTGCTGTATCTTGTCTTTAGTGGTCCAGGAGAAAATAACTATAATCCACTGCTGCAATGTACACCTTTTTGCTGGTTGATTAAAGAAACAAATGGTAGATACTTTTCGATAAAAATTCTGTTCATTCCTTTGTAAATGGACCATGTTCTGTTTTCTTTCATAACCCGTGCCATTCTGTGAATTCAATATATTATGAAGGTTCTAGCTTTTATAGTGGTGTTAATAATAAAAATCTGTTATTTTAATGGTAGTTTTTACTCAAAGAAGTCCAGAGGAGCACAACTCTTTACTAAAGAAATGCCCGAGTCCTTTACTGTCACGCTTGTGGTCTGTGCTACTTACCTGCTACCATTACTGCTTCCTCTCTGTTTTTCTTCCTTTTCTTTCCTTATTTATTTACTTTTCTGGATAATCTATAAGAATTCCTTGCTTGTTTTTATCCTGTTTAATTCGGTCTGTTTCATATGTCTGTAACTGAATGTTCACACCAAAGGGTAACAAGGTGCCCAGATTTGACAGTCCTGTGCCAGAAACTATACTGGACTTTTGAACAGCCAAGGTAGTTGTGGAGGCTCAATAAATTGTCATCTGAGTTGGATTCAGCTTGTAAGCCTGGCCTCTTAACTGCTGTCATGCTATCCCTGCTTCAGGATGAATGGATTTGTTGGTGACCTGGAAATATAATGTAAGACTGGCAAGTGTAGTACAGCATACTGCTAGGAGATATTTAATTTTGGAACTTACTGAATGTGAGGTGGGTGTCAGGCATTTTTATCTCTTTCTTTAATTCCTTTTTTAGGTCAGGATCTTAGAAACTAGGCTGAGAATTTGGGGTCAACAGTGAAACTGTTGCTGCTCTGAAGTTGCTTGGAACTCCCACGGGCCGTCTAACATAATGCCCTCTCATTTCTTGGTTTCACTTAATTCTTTTGCATCACAATATCTCAGCATTAGTATGATCATAAGAAACTCAGAGGTGGATTTATTTTCTTTGTATTTGATTTGAAGTCTTGTGCTGGAGAGCTGCTAATTCCAAGGAGGAAGTGTTTGGGAGAGTTGCTCTCTCTGTGCCTGAATGCTTCTATGCAAAGTGAGCGCCCAGTAGTTGCTTTGCATAAAACAACACAGAAGTCACCAAGTTGTTTTAATGTTACTTTCTAAATTTTGGGAGTTAGTCTGCACTATTACTAGCTCTTATATTAAGTTCAGTCTTGTTTTCAGGTAGCTGTTGGAATATCTCAGTTCTAAGCAGATTTCTGTAGTGTCTGCAATAAAAAGCCTAAAGGGCGACTTTAATTACTCCAAGTCAGACACAAATGCCAAGTTCCCTAGGGATCTTATCAATATCTCCTTTACAAGTTTCCTTTTGTAATGTATAAATTGGATATTTCTGTTAAATACCCTGGAAGATAATCAGTGACGTGTTTTTCTTGATTCACAGACTCCTCTTGGGCTGACACAACTTCTCTGTGTTGGGTAGTTTGTTTGAGTGTGGGTTTTTTTTCTTCTAATTAGATTTACCAAAAAGGCCAAGTATAAGTATATTAATACTGTTTCTGAACAGGGTAGATAAGTGTTTTTCTTGCTGGTTTTTTTCCACTCAAATCTTACTCTTGCTTTTCCTGTTTTAAATTGTATTTCTTCTGGTGTCTACAGAAACTTCAGGTATGTCTTTCATCTGTGCTTTAGTAAACTCCTTTTAGGCTTTAATTGCTCTGGTAAGTCACATATGAAAAGTATAAATTAGAGTAGGTGAGATCTTGCATATTTTTGTGACCAACATTAATTCAGAAATTCATTTATTAAAGTGGCTTAAAGCCTCCTGAGCTTTGTGTGAAATTAATTTTAAACCACTGTGGATGTGTCTCTGGATGTGTCTGTGGCATGTTCTATTCATGCAAAAGTGTTGTAGGGCTTGTTAACATACACCATCCTTTCTAGTTTGCCAACTTGCCTGCTGTTTGTTGATGAAGAATACAGTGCCAACCTCTGACAGCCAAAGCTCAAGTACTTTTTTTTAAAAAAAAAAAACAAACCAAAATCAAACCAAACTCTTCACCAAGCTGGCAGTTCCTCATTGTTAAAGTTTTGTGAAAATGGCAATACATGGAGAATGAGCTCGAAGGAGGACGAGGAGGAAGAATTCTCTGCAACAGGTAATTTTCATCAGTCATTAATTTTGGTGGTATGGAAAAGAATGAGAAAAGATGGAGAAGCATATTGTGTGCTTGTGGGATAGGGAGGAGGGTCTTCTGCATAGGCTTTTCTTAAATATTGACTGCCACCTTCTTCCATCTCTTCTTAACACTTCCATTCTTGTCTAGTTATAGAAGTGGATGATGAAAACCAGCTTTTTGTGTAACTTGAGAGCTGAGTTGATTATCTTGATAATGCCCCCAGCTGATGTGGCTTGGTTAACTGCTTTACTTGCCTGCTGTAGTTTCTTTCTTGTGGTAACAAAGATAATTAGTAAGGTAGGAGGTGTAGGAGCATATGCACAAAGCAGAACATACAGGAGTGTTGCCAACAGCCCATGAGGTGCCCTTGCATCAAATACACAAATACAGAAACATCTGGTGCAGAGGTGTGACAAGGCAGTTTGCGTGTTTAGGGCCGTTTACAAGGATGAGCTTTGTTTGTCACTGCAGAAAGGAGTAAATAAATCTTGGACAGCTACTCCTGTAGATGTACTAAACAGATTAGAGATCACTCTTGCCCCTTGTTGAATTAATTTATTGTCTGGCTGTGGATAAAAATCAGAATCTTTGAAACATTATAACTTTTTAAGCTGTCCAGGAGTTAATTTTCATTTGTAGTCACTCATACACCCCCATTGGAGAACTAAATTTGAGATTAGTCCTAAGGTGACATTGGGGCTTGCTGGCATTCAAACACAATTTCTGCTTGTATAAAAGCAGAAAACTAATTGAAGGCTGACACTGTAATTTAAGTCTCTGAACTACTGACAAAAAGATCTTGCATCATGCAGAGAAGTAACATACAATCAAACAGACCTAGAAACAGGGTTCTGCTAATGTATGCTGAAGAACTACTTTGCTATGGCATGTCTTAGTGTGTACAAGCTGTTCTGTATAAGCAGCTTCAGCTAAGAATTGAGATTCTGTTGCTAATTTTGCTAATTGCTAATTTCCTTTTTTATTTTCTATCCACAGATCATGTCTTTCACTAAGAGGAAACTTGTCAAGATAATTGCCCTTAACTATCGTACCTTGAAGGAGCACGTACAAAACTGATCTTAAAGAAGAGAGAGTGATTCGTATTTGAAATAACTACCAGAGAAGGAAAAATCAAGGAACACATTTTTGAGGATAAACTACAGAAGAAATAAAGACTTAAGTCCATTAAGAGGCTATCGTTAATCAGTAAAAAGGCACAGCTGGTGGAAGGAGAAAAAGAGTACTTGGTAGAGAAGAAAACTGCAGAGAACACTTCGGTTCTTAAAGGAACACATGTCATGTAGACTTTTGAACTACTTCAGTGATGTGTTCTGACTTCTCTCCAGGAAACAGGTGTTTCTGCAGTATTCAGAATTGGGTCAGCCTTCTGTTAGTAAGTTCTGGCCTGTTCCTTGCTCTGTGTTTATTTCTATCTACAAGTTGTGATTTTGCGTCTGTTTAAGCAGGAATAACTCATAGGGCTCATGGAAGAAAATTGCAAGGCTATTCTAAAAGGGCAAGGCTACTCAAAGGATCTTTAATATTCCAGCCCCTTGTTCTAATGGGGCAGGTGGAGAGAAGAGCAGCAGTCTGGTGGTGATGCCCAGATGCAGCTGAGGAAGGTGTGTTTTACACTAGGCGTAGGTACCAAGTAAATCTGTTGTGGACTGTTGACTCTGTAAAAGCTGCATTTCTTCAACAAACCATGTATCATTCGTTTCTAAATGTGCTGATAGGGTGTATATGAGAGGATAATCTCACTCTGTGCGAGGTATACTAAATATATCTGGTAGGAAACACTAATATTATAATGAGGTTTTAAAATTGACGATCTTATGAGTTGTATAAGAACCTTGTTACTCTTGTATAAATCAACTACTTTATCAGAGATAAAATGACATCTTCTTGGATTTTACAGTGGCTTTTGTCTTTATAAATGAGTATCATTATCTTAAAACTATAAAATAAAGTTTCAGTGCAGTGTTATTTTACTGAATAAGGTGCATAATTCTGGTTATGCTTTGCAGTAGCTCTCAAATTTTGTTAGTGCGTCTAATCACAAGGAGTATTTTTCAACATTCTTTAGAATGCTGCCTCATCCTAGTGTTAAACTTGGGTAATTCTTTTTATTAAAACTGTTCAGATGAAAATGTGTACCTGGTTTCTTTGCCTTTTCTTAAAGGGCTCTTTAGGTATCTGATGAAGTCTCGAAGCTGTGCTTCCCTCCCTCCTTTTTTCATAACATGCTAATGTGGTTATAGCTCTAACCTTCCAATTTACTTACTGCCTACTACCCTTTAAACAGTTCTTTTTTTCTTAAGTGACACTCAGCCTACTTAGTGCTTGTGTTTCAGGGCTTATCTTCTGTCTCATGTGTACACAAACTGATTGTATTTGGGGACAAGTGACCTTCTTGTACTACTGCTCAGAATATGATGAAAAATTCCTGCCCCCAAGACTAAATAATTCATCTTCATCTCTGAAGATCAAGGCTTTGGTATAGAGCAACACCTTTGTGTTTGTGCAGGTCACAGCTGTGCAAACAGGAACCTTGGCATGAATAACTCAAATATTTGCACTAAAAAACCCTGCAACCAGCAGCATTTAAGTTTTAGTAGACTTTTGGATCCTTCTGTCAAGATGAAAATGCAGCATATCAGTGCCAGGTAACTACTTTTTAAAATACTTTATTTCAGTACTATATGGCAAATATGGAATAATCATGTAATTTTTACACTGTCCCTTACTAGATTTTTTTGCTTTTTTAGGTATCCAAGATCCAGCCCTGGATAGGTAAGTATTCTTAACCCATCTTTTTTATCACTAACTTAGTTCACAGAAAAGCTAAGCTGAAGTTTATTTCACTGTTTTCTCTGCTCTCCAAGTATTTTTTAGGCTACTCCATTTAGATAACTTGATTATGGCTTAGCATGTGCACCTAGATGCATAGTAAGGATCCTTATAAACATTACACTCAGTTCATGAACTGAAAATGATTCCCCTTTTTTTGTTTTTTCCAGCTCAGTTTTCAAAAGCATTTTATGTTTCTTTAGGCAGATTGATTACTAGAAATTAACTTTTCCCAATACCTGAACAAGGATGTAAATGCCCAGAACAGTCTTCTAATGTAATTATGATTGTTTATTTGTGTGCATGTGCATAAATGCACTGGTTTTAATTCAACTTTCTCCTTTAATTTGCAGCCTTCCAGTCTGGTGTTTTTCTTGCCTCTTCATGACCTCGTGTCTTGAGCAGCCTAGCTGGATCCCCTGGTTCCTGTTTCTTCTTGTTTCAAAATTCTGCTTTTCCCCCATTTTAAATCCCCTACCCTTTCGTATTCACATACAGACACTTGCCTTTTGCTGCCTGTTTTGGTCTTTGCTGTTTTTCCTAAGACTTTGGTTGGGTTCCATCCAAGATTTTCCATGTGGCACTGTTCTGCTGGATTTCCTGCAGAATACCTCAGTCATGCTTCTGAATTTTTAGGGACCTGAGGGTCCTTGTCCACATTTCTTGTTCTACTACTTTGTCTCTCTCTGAGTAGGCATTGCGGAAGAAGTTAAGGCTGTATCTTCTGCTACTTTACTTAAAAAGCAAATACAGGAACTTCTTTAAAGAAGCTACAGAGCTTGTGGATTGTGGGGGATAAGCAAAGTGAAAGTGTACTGGAGGTAAAAAAAAAAAAAATTCAAACACGCCCCCCTCCCCAAGCAACACTTCTGCTCTCAGACATGTTTAGATTCACGAGATGTTTGTTCTGCCCCTTTCTGTCCTAATTAGGAAATGCAGCCTCATGCTTCCAGGCTGAATGTAGTTCTTCCTTTTTCCACCCCCTTCCCCTCTTCTGTCAAGTTACCTCTGTATTTCTGTTCCATTTTGTATTATTTTGATGAGCAAGTGCTCAGCTGTGGAATCCCTTGCGCTCTACACCAGGAGAGAATCACTGCTGAATAGAACGTGTCTTATACTCATCTGAAACATGTTTTATTTTCTTGTGTAAAACACTCCCTTAAAAGGACTTTTTTTTTTTTTTTTTTTTTTTGGAAATGGTTATGAATCTCTTCAGTTATCTGGTCGCTCCTTTGCTAATGGTTTCAAACAAGTGTGTGTGTATTGTGATCTTCTCTGGCTCAAAGTGAGGCATTTGGGGGAAAATACCAACTTTTAGTGTCTTTTGGCGTTCATGTGTCAGCAGTTCAGGTTGATTTCAGTGTGTGCAAATTTAAAGTGTTGATACCCTCAAAGTTTTAATTTTTTGTGCTATTGCTGTGTTGTAGTTTAGCAAGGACTAAAAATAGTAGTTTGACTTTCCATTCAGATACAAACCAGGAACATATTATCATAATACATTACAAAAATAATTAAATGTAAAGCTGTTATGTCTGAATTTCTGGTTGCGTAAAACACTTCTTTTGCTTCATTCTTCCTGTGTGAATCCTTTTTGGGGGGAATGGGCATGTGGCTCAGGGGGAAAAAATATACAATGCTTTTCTTATGGTAATTGAGTAAGATTTGTCATCGGAATTCGTAAGGACGTGTCTGTTTCTGTGTATGAAATAAAATAGTAAAACAGGCTTTGTGAAGTTTTGAAATTAAATATTTTTAACTTCAAACATAGCATTTGCTGAGTGTATAAGTAGTGTGTTTGCTTTTTTGAGTTTAGAATGTGGGATTGAAGTTTTTACCATAGTTGTGTGAACTGACATTTTCATGGGAATTCTCATCTGGGAGATCTCTCAATGGTTTCATGTTTCTTTGTATGTTTTGGTAACATAGATCTATCCAAATAAAACACTTCCCATTGTTGGTGAGTCTAAAAGATATATTTTTATAAACAATGTAACTTTATTGCCTGATACTTTTACAGTGCTGAAACTTTAAAGCTAATTTGGGAATAATTGCAACTTTGTTCCTTTTTTTCTTGTTGTGTTTCAGGGAAATGAGGCAAGCTACCCCTTGGAAATGTGCTCACACTGTAAGTTTTTTTTACTTGCTACATTGTACTGTTAGATGGAGAGGGATATGTACAACTGTCATGTATGTTATGCAGTTTATTTACTAACCAAAAGAGTAAAATGAAAGGGTTAAAGATACCTTTGGAAATAATAGAGCTTTTGCTGTTCAATTGTAAACTCAAAAATCAGTCCATCTTTAAAATAAAAATCACTTAAAGTGCTTTTGGTTTTTTTTTGGATTTTTTTTTGGTTTTTTTTTAAGTGTTCCATTAGAATATGAAACAAACTTAAGATAGTTCTGATGTCTGTAGGGTGGAGTGTTATAACTGCTAGTTTCAACCTCTGGGGCTTTTCTGTCAGTCCTGGTGCCAGTTCCTCAGAGATGTGGAGCAGCTCGTGTTGCAGTCAGTACTGTGTGTTAGGAGTGAAGTGTGTTGTATACTGCCTAAACTGGCTTTGTGCCCTGAGAGAAGAGAGAGGTTGAGACTAAAAGAGCAGTTTTTTCCTGTGTGTGCTTGCAGCCAGGCAGTTTAGTGAGAAACCACTTGGTGTTACTTGCTTTTGGCCACGTGAGAATAAAGTTCATTGCTCCCTCTCATGGGGTTAGTCCACCCTGCAAAAATAACCAAGTATTTCTTGCCTAAGGCTGACCAAAGAAAGGGTTGTCTTGTGAAACGTCCCTGTGGTGTTATGCTAAGGGCACCTATTCTTAGCTGCTTTTTCCCTTGAATGATGTTCTTCAACCCTAAAACATGTGTAGACCTGTGTATGCATTTTATTGGACCACTTGATAAAATTCCTCATCTTGGGTGAATCAGATCTTGTTTTTAAATGGGGCAGTTCAAGATGGGGACTGTTTTCTAGACTGGTTTCACAGTGCTAGTCTTAACTGACCTGAAACCATAACATAAATAATCCCTGAGGAATCTTTGTCTAAATACATTTTTTCAGAGAAATGAGGCTTTAGCTGGTAATTTGCAAGTCCTCTATGCCTAATGCACATCCATGTGGATTATAATTTGAGTCATCAGTTCTCACTTGAGAATCTTTATCCACAGCAGTGCATGGCTGTGATATGCTCTCAGTGTTACTATTTTGTTAAATACGGATATGTGGTCAGGGTTTTCATTTTTGAGGAAGACTTCAGTAGTGTTTTCATATGTATCAATCTTAAATTACGGCTCCATTGGTTTCTAAAGAGGTTTTTTTTTTTTTTTTAGCTAGTCTCTACTGGAGTTGTTGTTACTGTGTTGCTGTCCTTAACTTCTGATTCTAGACCAAGCTATATTCTTGGTAACAAGTGGCAGCCTAAAGTTTTATTACTGAGCTTGTTTGCCTCTATTTATTGCAGAAAAAGTGAGGATTTTTGCATTATATACTGTGGTTAAAATGTGTGTTGAGGATATGGTTGTTTAAATCATGAGAGAGAACAGGAATGTATCTATGGTGTTTGCATGGTGGCACTGGTTTGTAACCTCTGCCTGGTGGTGCACTTGCTGCTTTGGTGTATTGTTTTATAAAGGATAATTTTGTGTTTAAGTTACATGAAGCAAATTCAGGATACCATGCAGAAGGCACACACCATTAGTCAAGTGCATTCTTTTTCCTTTCATTTTTAGAACATCAGTTCTTCTCAGTGGGTGAATTAGTGTTGTTGGATTCCTTAAGAGGGTTTGGTTTTGTTTCTCAGCTGTGCCACATCCCAGAAATTACTAAAAAACCAGTGCTGTTTGACATGGTGAAAATTTGATGTCAAATTATCCATAAGCAAATTTTATCATAACAAAAAGATGTGGAGAAAACTACTTTGTAGTAGAGTAAAAAATACTTTATAGTATTTTTAGTATAAACACTATTTTGTAGTGTGTTTTGATTATTAGGATAAGGAGACTAATATCTCTCTTCTAACTTAGGAAATTGTAAATGACACATCTGAAGTCATGAAAAGGATTAGGCCAGCTGTGTGTAAGCATATACAAGACAAGTGGTTGAATGTGTTCTCAAGGGCGTCATCTTTTTGAAATCTGATCTCCAAGACTGAAATGGCTGACTTGGTTGCTACTCTGAAACGTTATATTCGTGAATCAGATGAGACTGTAGATAGGGGTGAGAGTTTTGCTGAAGGTCTGTTTTATTTTGAGATCTCTGCAATCCATTCTTATGAGAAGAAATTAACCTGGAAACACTTAACATTAATTTCAGAACATGTTTTATTTACAAGAAATATTTTCCCCAATACCTTAGCAGTATTCTTGTTTATAATGATCTCATGTTTGAAGAATACATGGAAATTGGGCTCTCTGTGACCACACTCTGGTCTGGTTTTTGTTAGTTAAAACTTTGAGCCAGTATTTTAAGAGTATATGAAAAGAGAGCTTTTTAAATAGAGGCTTAAACATTTAGGTAAACAGATTTTAGAAGTGCTGAACACCTCTTTCCTAAGAGATGTGCAGCCTTTCTAAGGTCTGGACCCTTTGCAGATGACTCTGTGTGTTGTGTACTCTGCAGCAAAGGATGTACTGCGTTTCTTAATGCATAAGCAATTATCCTGTTAGAGCGTCACTGAACGCAGTAGATTGCAGAGTGCTGTGTTTTTATGGGTGCCCCATCCCTGGAAGTGTTCAGGGCCAGGCTGGATGGAGCTCTGAGCAACCTGATCTAGTTGAAGTTGTTCCTGCCCATGGCAGGGGGTTGGAAGTAGAGGATTTTTAAAGTGTTTCCAACCCAAACCGTTTTATGATTCCGTGATTTTTAAGGCATCCTTTACTTTTGACTCTCACATTAATAGGAAGCTAGCTTTCTACCTTTACCTTGACTAGAAAAAAAAAGCATTAAATTTTTTTCTGAGACTACATTTTTCAACATAGAGCACACTGAAATTGGCTTTCAACGAAGCTTTTTGAGTTGCCATTTGAATGGTTTTTAGAATCCTATTTGAGCATCAGTTATGTGCTTAATGATTTGAAACAGAATTGTTTTAAAACATAGCAGATCATCCTCTGCTGTTGGGTTGGGGGGAGGGAATGGGGTACTCATCAGTGTAGCTCAACATATTAGAAAAGTGAACAACTGGGGGATAAAGCTCCTGCACTAAAATGGGAGTTAGGCAGAGCACTTGCATGTAGTTTCTTGGAAGCATTGGAGTCCTGATTCATCACATTTTTAGATGTATGCAAATGAATTCAAGATACGAAGCAGGTGTTGGCTCTAGAATTTTAATACTTGGATGAAAGAGGAATGAATCTTTTGAAAGTGCCAATAGCTCTTGAACAAAAATATCTTAAAACTGGAACTATTTAACCCTCCCACACGCCCCTTTTGTTAATTTACAAGGTGAAGGAAACTCAAAGTTGATTAGAAAATAAACATAAATAATTCTGCGTGTTTTAAAACAGTGAATAATTTGGTGTTTCAACAGGGCTACCAGCAAGGCCTTTTAAAGAAAACCCCTTGGCAGGTATTATTTCCAACCACTTGTTCAGTTTGTGAGCTCAGACATCAGTGCCGAGCTGATGGGATACTGTCCGATTCCATGGAAAAGTGTAGGAAGCACAGAGCCAAGTGTCAGCTGGTGAGCACAGCACAAAAAAGGCCAACTCGAGTCTGAGGGAGGGGAACACTCACTGCGGCTGAGCTCGGGGCAGCTCCGACCTCGGGGATGAGTCACCGACAAGCTCTGCCTCAAACAATGTAAACAAAGCTCGGCCCTCCTCATTATCGCCCCTTTTACCCAGCCACGGGTTTGGACTGCCTTGGATTTCCCTAATGTTTTCATCCCTGTCCTGGTCTCCTGAGCTTGTCTTGTAAAATTCTGTCTGCTACTGCCACCATCAGTCCTTCCAGCTCAGAAACCTTCCCTGGATCTGAACTATGTCGTGCGTTTCCAGCAGAGCTTGAGGGTGTCTGTGTGGGCTCTGGGTTCTCTGCAAGGAGCCTGCAGAGAAGAAGGAAAGTCGTGTTTTGTTCATACACTGGAAATTTAATTCAGTGCTCTGTTCTTTGGTGAGAGCTATGTGGAATTTTAAGCAAGACTGTTGATAAATACCAAGGAAAAAGAAATTCTTGTGAAAAGTGGCACATCCATCATAGATGGAGACTGTTGTATATGCATGTTCTGGGAGATAATCTCAACAAAAAATGAAGAGGTATTATTGAAATCTGCTGGTATACATAAATGTATGCTGTTTTCCTTTTAAAAAGCTGGAGGAGAACAAAGAAACAAACACTAAACCCCAGAAAACCCACGTAGCTTTTAGGTAAATTCAGCCCTAAGCAGGGAGAGTCAGCAGAAATAAAGACTGTGAACTGAAGGAAGAATAGACAGAAACTATGCAAATTTAAGTCATATTGTACTGTAATGCATTCATCCCTTATTTTATATTCATATTCTTTCATTTCCTTAAGCTGTTTTATGAAGACAAAGATGCTACTGAAATACAAATTTTTTTCAAGTGTATAAGCTTTTAAAATTCAGCTTGTGGAAAGCATTTAACAGTAGGTGAGGTGCTTGCAGTATATTTAAGGAAAATAATTAAATTCTGATACGAAATCCTCAGGCAGTCAGTTATGAAACACTGCATCTGCAGATGTTTATCCATATATGTTCATTATGAACAGAGGTTTTTATGCTCATGAACTATTAAAGAAAGTTTTCCTATTCCAGTAATTACTTTGTTTTTTCATTATTTCCCCCTCTGAGTACTGTAATCCGTGGTGTGTCATTTGCCAGAAACAGAACTTTGGAAGAGTTTGCTATTTGGTCAGCTTTTGGCAGAGATACTAAGTTTTTCAGTCCTGCTCTTTGACTTGTTTTTTCCCCCTCCCCAAGAGTAGAACCTCTCTCAGGTCTCCAGTGCAGTCAAACCCTTTGCTTGAATGTTTCAAGGTTTGGAATGAGAAATTTGTAATCTCCTCTCCAGTAGAAACTACTGGTAAATATCTGTATCTGGACTGTGTATTGCAGTTGAAC